GGGTAAGGGAGACCCGTAAATGCATGGTCCTCTTGCTGGCCCCACTCTGGAGGAACCAGGCCTGGTTCCCCAAGTTAGTGCAGCTGTCAGTAATAGCCCCATGGCTGATACCACTGAGGAAGGACCTGCTCTCGCAGGCAAAAGGCATGATTTGGCATCCCCGGCAGGGGTTGTGGAGCCTTCTTGTTTGGATCCTCGACGGGAGCTCTCTGCGAGAGTAAGTTATACCATTTTAGAGGCTAGAGCACCGTCTACAAGGTGCCTCTATGCCCTTAAATGGTCAGTCTTTCGTGACTGGTGTTCCACACAAAGCCTGGATCTGGTCTCGTGTCCCACGTGCTAACTTTCTTACAGTTGTTGGATAACAGGTGTGCCACTTCCACACTCAAAGTTTATTTGGCAGCTATCGCAGCGAATAATTCCCTCGAAGCTGGCCATTCAATTGGCAGACACGATCTAATCGTTAAGTTTTTGAAGGGCACCCGGAAATTGATTCCTCCTCACCCTTGGACGGTGCCGGTCTAGGACTTGTCGGCAGTCCTGAGGTTCCTCCAGGGCCCTCCCTTCAAGCTACTCCATTCGGCTGAGCTATGGCCGTTGTCGCTTAAAACTGCCCTGTTACTTGTGTTAGTGTCAGTTAAGCGAGTGGGGGACTTGCAGGCACTGTCAGTCAGTGTTTCCTGTCATGAGTTTGAGCCTAACGACTGTAAGGTCGTCCTCAAGCCTAGACATGGCTATGTCCCTAAGGTGCTCTCTACTCTGTTTAAAGCCCAGGCTATCACCATGTTAGCACTCCCTGTCGTGGATGGCAAACAGGGTCCTAATGTTTCTCTGCCCTGTAAGGGCTTTGAGAGTGTATTTGGAGCGCTCTAGCCTGTTCAGACAGTCGGAGCAGCTTTTTGTTGGCTTTGGAGGCCGCCTTAAAGGGCTGCCAGTTACAAAGCAGAGGCTTTTTTGCTGGAAAGTTAACTGCCTCAGCAGGCTTACAGTGCCCTCTAGGTGTGAGGGCCCACTCCACCCGAGGAATGGCATCCTCCTGGGCGTGATTCAGTGGGATTTCTATTGGTGAGATCTGTGTGGCCGCCGGCTGGTCGTCGCCATCCACATTTGCTAGATTTTATAATTTGGACGTCCCAGCCTTGCAGGCCTGGGTTTTGTCTGTTTAACTGCCCACTTCCCCCTGTGGGTGGAAATGGTTATGTTGATGGCCCTCAGCTGTGCTTGGGGTCTAGTTAGCTCACATTCTTGGGGGCCTTTTACTAAGTGCTCCAAAATTAGCTCCCAGGGCAGGTCGTTCTGCATCTGCTCATAGCACGGCGTGATTGGATGTGTTCCCCATACACAACGTGAGAGTACATTTGAAAGGGAATGCTCTGGTTACTGACATAACCTCGGTTCCCTGAGATAAGGGAACGAGCGTTGTGTCACTAGCTGTGCTATAAGCTGCACACCAATCGATGACTGTCGCTTCAGTTGAATGATTCTGATGAATGGCGCTGCAAGCTGACTTATATAGAGGTCGGCTCCACACTTTCTTGTAGGCTAAAGCACCATTGGTTTGTACAGCTACACAAACGTGAAAAAATCAGGCTTCAGAATAGGGGGAAAAAAGGAGATAACCCATACACAACGCTAATTCCAGAGCATTTGTCTTGGTAATCTTTAATCAAAATCTGATCATTTGCTTCCGCTCGGAAATGGCATGTCTTTGATGATGTCAGTTTGACAGCTTGGGCCATGGCTTGGGCAGAATATGCTTAACCACGCCCCTCCAACTGTTAGTTTACCGCGAGTGAGATGAGAGGAGGAGCGCAAAAATTTAACCCTGCCCTCTATTTAATATTCAGTTTCAGCTGGAAATACATCACCACACTGAAATAAAGTCAGCAGCAACTTCCGGTTCACGTGGACTTTATGAAAACTCAGCTATCAGTATCAGCAAATATACTGTAATTTAGAATAATTGGACATTGGTATTGTCGCAGTTAAATTTTTTTTTTGCAGAGTGTTCCTGTCAAGCCAAGTAGGAATGAAAATAGTATGTGTGTGTGTGTGTGTGTGTGTGTGTGTGTGTGTGCAGGCACGGATTAACGCACAGGCTTGCCTAGGCTGCAGCCTAGGGTCCCCCACGTGTGCAGGGGCCTCGGATTGGCCAGACTATATATTTTAATTCATTTAAATTTACTTCAGCGCGAAAAAAGACCCTCGATTGGTCCATAAGAAACATTAAACGAGGATTCGTTGCAGAACGTCTGACAAAATTATTGTCTTTTTCCCGTCATGTATTTGGTCATTGAGAATTTTTTTTTTAATGTCTAAAAATCTTATGTCTCGTCTCATGTCTTTAGTTAAGTATCGGCAGTAATGATAATCCAACAACAAAAGACGAGGAGAAAAATCCCTCCCTGCTCTTGACAGAATGGGATTTGTAGCTTTTATAAGAATCTATATAGTGTAAATTGTTCCCTACCATCACATTCACATCTATGCAACCAATAAATAAATTACTACTACTAAGAAAGAGCACATATTTCTTCATTGATCTAGATTGATTCTGCTCTCAAAATGCACCAGATTTATGCATTTAAATTTAAAAGGAACAACATTTTCTTATACCCTCAAAACCCCCTAGACTAAGAATCAATGTGCACCCAGAAGGGGGACAGATATATAACATTACAATATAACATTTCTGTAATTTATATAACCTACCAGTCACCTACCTCTTATGTTCACCAAGCATGCATTTATTTTTGCTATTTAAAATAACTGTTTTCTATGTGAATATATTTTAAAATGTAATTTATTGCTGTAATCAAAGCTGAATTTTCAGCATCATTACTCCAGTCTTCAGTGTCACATGATCCTTTAGAAATCACTCTAATATGCTGATAATATCTAATATTGCTGCTCAAGAAACCGTTTAAAATTATTATTATTATTAATATTTAAAACAGTTTTTAATTCAAACAGTACATTTTTCAGAATTAATTTGATTAATAGAAGGATCCAAAGATCAGCATTTATCTTAAATGAAAAGCTTTACATTATTCACTATACCATTCAAAGGCTTAGAGTCAGTATCCTTCAGAAATCACTCTAATATGCTGATAATATCTAATATTGCTGCTCAAGAAACCGTTTAAAATTATTATTATTATTAATATTTAAAACAGTTTTTAATTCAAACAGTACATTTTTCAGAATTAATTTGATTAATAGAAGGATCCAAAATACATGTATCTAGAATATTACAGGTCATACCTGCTTATTAAGTTTTTCATTTGAATAAATACAGTAGTCAACATTTGAAGTGGATCAAAAAAGTTAATCAAAGCTGTCCTAAGGCAAGAACGCATTTTGGTTTTAGGTTTAAGGACAACTTTGATGAAAGGTTTTGATCCACTTCAAATGTTGACTTGTAGCTTTATTTAGACATGATTAAACAATAAATGTGAAATGTAAAAAGTGAACAACCTTTTTTTAATGATACTCGCATAAGTACGCACAATGGGCCTCATTCATGAAACACGAGCAGAACGAATGTTTGTGTAAATCGTTCATAAAGCCGTTCTGACGTAAAGATTCGAATTCATGAAAGTGTTCGTATTTTCTAAATGTTAGTTGGTACGAAAGAAATGTACACCTGCTCCCTACCACGTGTAAATGGTGCGTAAAACGTTCCGTTCATTCAGGCAAACTGATGACACTGAATTTGATGCACTGCCATTATAATATTTTGCAAGCTCGTTGGGCTGGATTTTTTTTATTTTTATTTTTGTAGCTGAGAGTTGATAAACTGTTTAGCTTTGGGTAAAACGCAGCGCTTGTCATTGTCACTTTTTTACCCAGCCGTCCAATCAATGGAGGAGGGGCGGGACAAATACTACACCGACCAATCATACTACTTGTACAACAACCGAACAAAGTTAATATTGCTAGTTACTGCATTTGTATATTCAGTAATATTCTTCAAAATGAGATACTAGTAATACGTTACTGCCGTGGATATTTCTAATCATAGCAACCAAAGCGTCTCAGCTAGAAAAACGCTGTGCTACCAAAGCGTTCTCCAGCACCACCAGCTGGCCGTTTTAAGAAGACCGCCTGACAGTTTTTCTGCTGGCTAAAAACGCTTTGGTGGACTCACGTTATTGAATATATATTGTTAGGCATATGGCCTATTAGTGTTTTTATCATTTATGCAATATACTGGAGCCAAACCTGAGAAAGTAGACCAGAATATTCCACTGCGTTCCTGGACACGCAATTTGCGTAGCTGTAATTCTTAGGCGGGGATTATGCTAATTGTGAATGAGCCTGCACGAGCGCCCTGTTTACGAATGATTACAATTCATTAACATATAGTTTAACTATCAAATCTGATGTGTTTGTGAATTCGGAGGAGAGTTTTCAGGAAGGTTGCGCAAATTACTCAGAATTTACTCCTATATTTACGAATGTTTCATGAATGAGGCCCAATGAATGCAAGAAAATAGGCCTACTGAATTTAACCCAAGTTTAAAATGGTGCTAAAAAAGGCATTCAACAAAAGATTTTTATCACCATATGTACACTATGCATTGATATTAACCCCCCCCCCAAAAATCTCACTCCAGGCTGAACTTAAAAGTTGGCAACCCTGATAATGGTGTGTGTATTAAATTTTTCTAGAAACTTTACAGATCATTAAAACACATAGGCATATGATATATACTTAAAGGAATATTTTGGGTTCAGGTTCAAGTTGAGCTCAGTCAACAGTATAATGTTGATCATAACAAAATTGGGGGTCCAATCTGTTAATGTTAAAATACTCACTGTTTCAATATAGCCACAAGACAAATAAATACACAAACCATTTGCATATTCTGACATCCAGAGCTACACACACACATGCACTTCTTATATATGCATGTTGTAGTTTCATTTAAAAGTTTATGCAGATGACATGTAACACAAATATCTTCTTACTACCAGTGTTACTGACACCACGAGCTGAGAAAAAAAAAAGGCTTACAGGCAGCTCCACCCCTCCTCACATTTATAGTGCTTTGCCAGCAAGCGCTCATTGATTGTCTTCATGATGGCCATCATCTCTCTGCTCCTGCTGGCCTCTCTGCTACCACAGCTGACCTTCACTGGTGAGACTGACTATATAACAGCATATTAGTTATATTAACTGGTATGTACTGAATAAGCTGACTAATAGTTCTATCTCTCTCTCAGCTCGTGTGGATGTGGGTATAGTGAATGGCAAACAAGCAAAACCCCACTCCAGACCTTACATGGTGTCTGTTCAGTTGACTAAGAGACATACCTGCGGTGGATTCCTCATCTCTGATGAGTTTGTCATGACTGCTGCACATTGCTGGAAAGGGTAAGAGTTTTGTTCTCACTAAACTGCAATGTTGAATTAAAATCGACAAAATGACTGCAGTGCAAGACGACAATGTTTTGGATTACATAAATGCACATTTCTCTTTCAACAGATATCCAGAGATTCTGACGGTTGTGGTTGGTGCTCATGACTTAAGGAAAAGTGAGATTTCAGACCGTGTCGAAGTGAAGTCCTACATCCCACATCCATACCATACATTCTGTTCGCATCAGAATGATATCATGCTTTTGAGGGTAACAACCTGTTAAACGTTTAGTTGTTCAAAATAATATCTGATCAGAAAACAGTGGCATAAACTTGACATAACTCTGTTTAAATTTCTATTCAAGTATCCTTTTTTTAAGAGGCAATTGTAAATATTAATAAAACATACACATTGACTTTCAAGGCTTCTGTACTAACTTCAAAAACAGCAGTATAATCAACTGCAGTTCAGTCTCATAAAAGATGATTCAATCTCTTAATAATGGTTGTGTTTTTGAATTACAGCTACAGGAAAAGGTCAAACTAAATAACGATGTAAAATGGATATCATTACCAAAGGAAGATGTTAGTGGAGATACTCTCTGTAGTGTTGCGGGCTGGGGAACTGACATAACTCTGTTTGAATTTCTATTCAAGTATCCTTTTTTTTAAGAGGCAATTGTAAATATTAATAAAACATACACATTGACTTTCAAGGCTTCTGTACTAACTTCAAAAACAGCAGTATAATCAACTGCAGTTCAGTCTCATAAAAGATGATTCAATCTCTTAATAATGGTTGTGTTTTTGAATTACAGCTACAGGAAAAGGTCAAACTAAATAACGATGTAAAATGGATATCATTACCAAAGGAAGATGTTAGTGGAGATACTCTCTGTAGTGTTGCGGGCTGGGGAAGACTGTGGATGAATGGCCAATCGAGCAGTCATCTAATGGAGGCAAACATGACTACAATAAACCACACAGTGTGTCAACATAAATGGGGATCCAAGTACTTCGAAGCCTCGCAGATGATCTGTGCACATGGTGATGGAGGATCCTGCAAAGTATGTACAAAATTTTTTTTTTATGGTAATGACTTTATCTTTATTTTTTATGACTTTATGTTAATGTATGAACTGGTTTCACTAGTGATGTGCTGATCTTTGTTTCTTAACAGGGAGATTCAGGAGGTCCTTTGGTTTGTGGAAACACTGCAGCTGGTGTCACATCTTTTGTGTCCAGAGAACGCTGCAATTCACCCGAGCGTCCTAATGTGTACACTAAGATTTCAGCATATCTTCCATGGATCCACCAAATCATTAGAAATATTAAGTAAATGAACAAAAAAAAAAAAAAAATGAAGGATGAAATGTTTTTTTCTTGAATTCTTCTGTAAATCTTTCAATAAAAGTGTCACATGGCAATCAATCAGTTGAAGTGTCCTCGTCACAATCATATATAAAAATGTCGAGTCATTCCTCATTAGTTCACTTGCTTGCCATCTTGATGATGCTCTTTAATTTCTAGTCATGCATGTATGGCTCATATCTACTTGAAGTGGGAAAATTCTAAAAACTGTGGGTAAAGAATGGTTCAGTCTGGTGAAAAAAAATAAACTAACAATCTAACTGCTGCAATTTCTTAATTGGCTAAGAAATCAAATACACTGCTGGACGATAACCAATAAATTTGTATACTATAATATTATTTTCTGTATTTTCCTTATGACAATTTTATGATTGGTTTATACAAACATAAGGCTGAATAGTTTCTATACTGAATAAATGTTATGTCAGTTAGCACTGCATTATTCATTTACTTTATTACCTGGAAATGACTTGAAATGTATTTTTTTTAGCTACAGCGATAGCGGGATGCCTTTGTCCACATTAGGGATTTCCTGCACATCATAAGTTACTTCTACTAGGCCATTTTGGACTTTCATATCACCTCATTTTGGATATGAATAAATTGTCCAGTCATACATAGACTCTCTTGTTTCTTCGCCCATGTGCACACACATCCAAAGCATGTGCACAGAAAAAGTGATTTATCATGCATCTGATTGACAGATAAATCATGGTTGATATCAGCCAGATGCACATAAAATGCATGTGCTTTTATTTCAGTGTTGTTAATGTTTAGGTTATTTTAGCTTCATACATTTAGTTGAACTGCTCTGTTAAAGAGGGCGATTTTGAACTGTGCGCGTGCATTTTAGCCACTTACATTGTTCTTGCTCAGTGTTACGCCCCTGGTGGCATGAGGAAGACGTACATAAAATGTAAACAACCCTATAACTCTGGTCTCTGGGGAGTACTGGGGGAGAATGACACAAGGACAACCGACAAAGTGGTTCGCTTTATTTCCGAAAGGGAATATAATTTACACAAATGAAAACACACCAACCAAAATCCTTATTTACAGCTATATACAAAGAAAGGAAAAATAAGGCTAACTTGGAAAGCCTCGGAGAATAAGAAAATGAGCAGTGCTAAACAAATGAAAATAACAAACGCAGAACATTCACTAACTAATTCTCCACCCTCTAAATTAACTGAAAACAAAACCAGAAAATAAAAGAAATCTTCGGCGTTCAACACGCCATACCTAAAGCTTCACTAACTAACAAAACAAAACTTACACGAGGTCGCACACGCTCTATTCCATAGTGTGTCTAACAGAAGTCATTCTACGTGTTTGCACAATGCAAGTCAAGTGACATACTTCCCTTTCCTTTATCTCCGGGCTGGTGAAGTTTATGTCAGATAAGACGTTCTCTGTCGAACACAACAAGCAAGCGAAGCGAACCACCACAAAAAAAAACAGCATCAAACTAACTGGCACGGCCAACAAACTCCTCCTCGGCGTCTTTTATCTTGAACCAGTTGATGGACACATAATTACCCGACCAATCACAGCACCTAGAAACAGAGAAACAGCGGAGAGCGGGAAAACAGGAAGAACCCAATAACAAGGGGAGAAATACAGCAACCAGTAACAAAAGGGGAGGGAACAACAATCCGAGCACGTAATAACACTCGGTCTATGCAATAACTGCGTTATCTTGAACCAGTTGGTGATTGGATGTTTCGTGAGATGATGATAATCATGATGGACACATAATTACCCGACCAATCACAGCACCTAGAAACAGAGAAACAGCGGAGAGCGGGAAAACAGGAAGAAATAACAAGGGGAGAAATACAGCAACCAGTAACAAAAGGGGAGGGAACAACAATCCGAGCACGTAATAACACTCGGTCTATGCAATAACTGCGTCCTTCTATCAACCGAGTTTTCTATTTACTTAAACTGCTGAGTGCTCTGGCAATATCAATGGTATGACCCATTTTAGCAGCTGTCAAAATTACAATGTAAAATCAGAGCATAGCTCATACAGTCACTAAAATATTAAAACGCTAATGATACTCATTCAAAATGTCAACGCTGGTGATTGGCAGTCAAAGCAAAGCAGTGTATTATGAAAAATTAATCATAAATGTTAATAAAATGAAAAATAAATGTAGTTAAGTTGAATACTTTATTTGTATTCAACTCAAGTACCACAAGTAAACCTCAAGTAAAAAGTACCACAATTTAATTGTTCTCAAGAAAGTAGAAAAATGTACTCAAGTACTGTAACGAAAGTATTTGTAAGTAGTTACTTTCCAACTCTGCACATTAGCCAGTGCTTACTGTGCCATACCTTTGCCAAAACTGGCCCAGATACATTTTAGGATAACTGGGCCACATTTGTGGCAACATATGCGGGCCACTTTATGCTCACAACCACATTAGCCAGTGCTTACTGTGCCATATCTTTGGCAAAACTGGCCCAGATACATTTTAATATACCTGGGCCACATTTGCTGAAACATATGTGGACCACATATGGTTTACATCCTGATTAGCCTTTGTTGATTGTGCCACATTTTTGCCAAAGTTGGCCCACATTTGTTTGGCACTATTTGGGCCATATTCACTATTTACCACACTTTAGGGTCACATTCAGATTACACATGGCTGTACACACCGCATCGTTGCCTACAGAGGCCCACATGTGATTTGATACATTTGGGCCATTTTATATGTGGGACACTTCAGGCTTACATCCATTTTGTATGGGCCATAAGAAGGCCAGCATTGCTGTATCATTGTCTTAAAGGGGTGGTTGATTGCAATTTAACTTTTTTAGTTAGTGTGTAATGTTGCTGTTTGAGCATAAACAATATCTGCAAAGCTTTAGGGTCACATTCAGATTACACATGGCTGTACACACCGCATCGTTGCCTACAGAGGCCCACATGTGATTTGATACATTTGGGCCATTTTATATGTGGGACACTTCAGGCTTACATCCATTTTGTATGAGCCATAAGAAGGCCAGCATTGCTGTATCATTGTCTTAAAGGGGTGGTTGATTGCAATTTAACTTTTTTAGTTAGTGTGTAATGTTGCTGTTTGAGCATAAACAATATCTGCAAAGTTACGTTGTTGAAAGTTCAATGCAAACGGAAAGTCTTTTAAAATTATGGCAGTTTAATGCCTACAAAAATGGCTCGTAGGGACTACAAGTTACTTCCCGGGTTTGTGACATCACAAACCCAGACATTTACATAAACCCTGCCCCCGGGAACATGCAACAAAGGGGGTGAGGCTATGGTGCAATGCTTTAGAGAAGAGGAAGAGATGTAGCCATGCTCAAAACTAGGGGTGCATGAAAAAATCTATTCATGTATGCATCACAGTTCTGTCTTCTAACGATTCTAATGGATTCACAAGTTTCAAAATCAATGTTTTAAAGCAGCGGTTCTTAATCCTGTTCCTTGCGTCCCCCTGCTCTGCATCTCTCTCATTCAGATCATCAGCTCGTCAGCTCAGCTCCAACAATGAACTGTTCGAATTATGCACTTGTATGTGTTATAGACAGATATTTTTCACATAGCTATGAGAAGCGTTAAACATGGACGAGTGTCCGGTTGCCGTGCTGTATTAAAGCTTTAATCAGGATAAAACCGTATATTAAAAGCTAACATAAGCAGTAGCATTTACAAATAACAGCGTATCTAAAAGTATGAAACAACAACAAACAAAAAAACATACCATTAAGAGCCGTGTGTATGCTCAGGTTCTGTGCAATCCTCTTCACTAATATCCTCTGCGTCTCATTCGGTCTCAAATTGATAATCAATATTGACGATGCAGCGACGCCGTTGTTTACAATACAACCGGAGCACATGCCATTGAGCTGAGGGGCGTGACGCTCAGGCGTGCACTAGGAGGTTTAGCGAATTACAACACACTGGGCCTGCTAACCAATCTGAGCCCATTGTGTATTTCTGAAGGAGGGGCTTCATAAAAACAGAAAATCATCAGTGCGTTTATAGGAGAAGGGACAGAGTGGTGTAGAATAAAGGTCCTTGCGTCCCCCTGCTCTGCATCTCTCTCATTCAGATCATCAGCTCGTCAGCTCAGCTCCAACAATGAACTGTTCGAATTATGCACTTGTATGTGTTATAGACAGATATTTTTCACATAGCTATGAGAAGCGTTAAACATGGACGAGTGTCCGGTTGCCGTGCTGTATTAAAGCTTTAATCAGGATAAAACCGTATATTAAAAGCTAACATAAGCAGTAGCATTTACAAATAACAGCGTATCTAAAAGTATGAAACAACAACAAACAAAAAAACATACCATTAAGAGCCGTGTGTATGCTCAGGTTCTGTGCAATCCTCTTCACTAATATCCTCTGCGTCTCATTCGGTCTCAAATTGATAATCAATATTGACGATGCAGCGACGCCGTTGTTTACAATACAACCGGAGCACATG